AATGAGATCATGAATGTGGCAGATTCGCCACCCTGGAATTTTCAGGCACTGGTTTTGGGGACATCATAGATCTCCTTTTGATTCACTGACCTGACCCTACTGCTGCACAGTAGGAATATCAAATATTAATCTGGGGCTCAGACACAGAGACAGGGTTTTAATCACGTCTTTAAGACTTTGCTTCGTTTCTCTCACTCTTTGGTGGACCGAGTGCTCTGGAGCAAAGTGGACAGCAATCACGCCCAGATGCGCACACTCCACGCAGTGTGGACCAGGCCAGATCCACACAGCGAGTGCCTTATGCTACAAGAAGCAAGAATGTTTAAGTCAGGTTAGCCCTGGCCTAGACTAAACCAACAACAGGAGAAAGAAGAGAAGAAATAAAAATACGGGCAAAAGGGAGAACAAGAGAGGGAGCGAGAAAGAACCTCAACTCTCTCTTAGAGAAAATGAGAGTCCGCTGGGTAAGTGACTAGCACCTGAAGCTCCAAATCATCAAGCCTGTGTCTTTTTTTTTGGTGGGGGAGGATACAATTGGAAAGCAGATAGCTTCTGTTAAGTTATATATATTCTCTGAGCCATGACTGATCTTTTAGTACAAAAAGGAAAACTCTAACTTGGGTCCTGAAAATCTATCATGGGGCCAAAAGAACAGGTTCTTACCATACAGGACCCAAAATAAGATCCTGGTTAGGGCACTTCAAATTTGTTTTGTTTGGGGACAAACTGTTCGACAGAAATGAAACAGTTACATTTTTTCAAGGTATCCTTTTCAAATAGATTTCTAGCAGAAAGACAACACAGAAATGGCAGGCTGTCCTCAGGAGTGTGTGGAACCAAATCATTTACACTTTATATACTGCTTCAAACTTCAAGACAGGAAAACTAATTTACACTCTGTAATTAAGGGACCGTTGTTCTCCCTACAGAGTCATCAACAAAAGTCAGTGGGTGTCTTATTGAGGTCATTTGATGCACCAGTCCTGAAGACACCAGCTTACAGGTGTATGGCCATCCATCAGATCACGTGCTCTTTTTTCATGCGCTCATTACATTACACTATCATTGGTACAGTAGACTTCCATACGGCGTCAGTGGCAAGGACCAAGTCGAAGGACAGTTTTCTTCAGGGTCTTGCAATGTCAGAAGGCCCCTTTAAGGCCATTGTACAACTGTTCAGACTGGTAGGAAGTGACTGTTCATCTCAACACTAGGGATCTCCTGCTTCGTTCTCTGATTTTCTTGTGTCAGTGCTACAGCTGGATTTCCTTGGTAATATTTTCACTGAAAAAATATTTATGAAGCCTACCATTTAGGAATGAGGTGGCTGGCAGTCACTTACATCTGTGGTTTCTGAAGAGAATATTCCAGATGCATTTTTATTTGCACTGTCCCATGTGGCAGCCTCTCTCCACATGTGGCTATTAGGACATGCTGTAAGTGTAAGATGCATACTGGGTTTTAAAAAGTTAGTATGAAATAAAGAATGTAACACACCATTAATTATTTTAGATCAATTATACAGTAAAAGCTGTGAAAGCTGGAACCTGTGTAAGGCGGAAATCTGTCAGAGAAGGAAAACGCAGATATTTTCCACTAACAGAGAGCGACAGAGAAGTGGTGACCGCACCCCGTCAAAAGCAGAAAACTTGTGAGACTCGGATAAACAAGGCAGTCCCATCAGTTTCCAGCTCTCACAGGTTTCACTGTATGTTGAAAAGAATATTTTTAATGTATTGGATTCAATTAAAGTATTACTAAAATCAATTTCACCTGTTTCTTCTTTTTTAAATGTGGCTACTAGAGAATTTAAAGTTATATACAGGGTTCCATCCTATTTCCACCTGGACAGTGCTGCCTTCTCTGCTGCATGGCTTTCACGGGGGCGATAAAAGTGATTTATACGGTCACGTCTCTATTTCCTGCCACCTATAAATCTTCTACGGCTGCGACTCATGGGACCATACTTACCGCACACCAAAACTTGGAGGACGGCAAACTACAAATGTTTGGCAATCACTAATGTGTGCCTTTTGGTGAATTCAAAAATTAGGAAGTCGGTGACGGCCTGACTGTGAAAACAGCCTCTTTCAACCTTTTGTGGTCAGGATGGAAGCTGCCAGAGCTTGCTCTACTGAGCAGCTTTTTTTTTTTAATTGTTGTAGTTTAAGCAAAAGTTTACAATTCAAGTCTCTCACACAAAAACTTATATATACATTGTTATGTGGCCCTAACTGCTCTCCCTATATTGTGACAGCACACTCCTCCTTTCCACCCGATTCCCCATGTCCATTCAACCAGCTCCTGACCCTCTCTGCCTTCTCATCTCACCTCCGGGCAGGAGCTGCCCATTTAGTCTCACGTATCTACCTGAGCTAAGAAGCACACTCTTCACGAGTATCATTTTATGTCCCGTAGTCCAGTCCAATCTTTGTCGGAAGAGTTGGCCTCAGGAATTGTTTTAGTGCTGGGTTGACAGAGAGTCCGGGGGCCATGCTTTCCGGGGTTCCTCCAGTCTCAGACCATGAAGTCTGGTCTTCTTACTAGAATTTGAGTTCTGCACCCTGCCTTTCTCCTGCTCCATCCGGGACTCTGTGTTGTGTTCCGTGTCAGGGCGGTCATCGGTGGTAGCTGCACACTCTACTGAGCAGCTTTCTATCAGCGAGTCTAGACCCCTCTGCGTGCAGCAAGACCCCTCTGCGTGCCCCAACGTGCTGAGCGCATTTCCTTCCGGACGGCTGGACATCTCCACGGCAGCATTCGGACACGCCAGGAAACAGCAATTCCTCCAGTACTGCTCAGGTGTTTGGGGATCGCCTTCACACAGACCGGGGTTAAGGCACCCCACGTCCCCCGGTGGGGCACAGCTAAGGAGTGAGGAAATGCACGGCCGGCCCTCAGGACGGAATGAAGCCCTGGGATTATCAGAGCCCATATGAAAGCCTCTTGACCCCAGCAGAACTTCAGATTTCCCAATGTCTGCTCAAAAGGCCTAAAATAGATTGGCTTATTTTAACTTCAAAGTGCTGACTGTCTCAGGCCAAAGCAAACTAGGCTACCGAGGAGTAGCAGGGACAGAGCTTGCAAGGGGCCGCAGAATCGGCAGACATCTCCACTCGGCTCCTGTTGAGCTCTCCTGTGCTCTTAGACCCCAGGACTTCTGTTTGGTCGGTTTTTATCTCAGGGGCAGTACCTGGAATACCTCAGGATGTCACTAACCTCCTCCCACCTCTTCCTTACCTTCTAAAATCCTTCCTTGTGCATTGTTGTCAGGGGCGGCCAAGTCAATTCTGACTCCTGGTGGCCCTGTGTGGACAGAGTAGAACTGCTCCGTGGGGTTTTCAAGGCTGTGACCTTTTGGAAGCAGATTGCCAGGTCTGTCCCCTGAGGCGCCTTTGGGTGGGTCTGAAGGGCCAACCTTTCGGCTGGTAGTTGGGCGCTTAACCCTGCGCGCCACCAGGAACCCGTGTTGTTAAGGCAGTTGACATCTCCCGGTCTCCTCACGGCCTTCTGATTTTCACAGACTAAAAGGACCCCTCACTCTTCTGAGGCGGAAGAATACATATGTCACAGTTCATGGGGCATTGATTCCGTTTTGTGCTTTTTAGCTTCATTTTAATTTTAACGAAAATTTCGCCTGACCACACTACCAGGTCTTCTCTCTGTCTTCCGAATGACCAACAAGACACCTGGCCCTCCGTGGTGCTCCAGACATGCTGTACTGGTTGACGGGTTTGCTAATGAGGGAAACTGGATCTGTTAGCGGTATTTTTGAGGCAACGAGTTAAAGATTTGTTAAAAATAATGTTTGTGGGCAGTGGGGATAAATGATTGGAGGGACCCACTTTTCTTTTACTTCAGGAGGCATTCTTGAAATCCAAATTTCACATTTAATTTAATTGGCTTCTTAATATGCAACTATAGCTGAGAATTTTACAAATGACTGAGAATTAAACGTCTCTAGTTACGATTTTTAACACCACATATATCCCAAAAAAGAGAAATGAAGTTGCCGTTCCAATTTAACAGATGAAGACAGATAGTCTCAGAACTGTGTCTCACAGTCTTACACACAAACCTCATTTTTATGTAAGTTTCTTGATGCATGAAGGTCACAGTCATAATCTTTCTCTTCTATAAATGCTTAACTTTTTTTTAGAACTAGGAGGGGTCTCGGTGATGACCTGGTTGGAAGTTTTTTTTTTTTTCTTTTTCTATTCTACTTGAAGACTTTTAATCTTAGAAATTGGCCCTGACAGTGTCACAGGTACCCTACCTTGCTCCTTGCCAGCAAATACATTTGCCAACAGTAGGGCCACGGGCAGGGAAATCACTGATCGGCTTTGAAATGGTCAATAGCTGGTCTCATTATGGGTATCATCATATTAGTGATTGAACAACTCATCAATGCTTTTGCATGTGAAATGCGTGCGAGTATTGATAACAATGTATTATTTACTCTTATTTAAACTTGTAGGACAACTTGCTGGACATTCTTTCAGAGAATCTCAATAAAAAGCATATCTACTCATCATGAAACGTGCTTGAAATTATGAACTAAGTACTCACTGGCCACCATTACGTCTTGGCTTTGTACACTTGGGTTATAAATGTCTACACAGGAAAGCCAAGTCCATATTTCATATGCAACTTACAAAGCGTTAGTGGTCAGTGAAGGACTGTCACTATGACGTCCTCAGAAGCATCCTAAAGTCATTCATTAGGGAAGTGTTAGACTGAAGTTAGAGTACACACTTTATAGTTCAGGAATCTGCTTGCTGATGCATTAGGTATGCGGTGCTGTTACCAGTTCCATAAAATCTCAAGTCTTTACTTTTGATCAATTTAAGCTGCTTACGGGACAGGTTGTAAGTGTGTACTCTAACGCAGTAAAGCCCTAACGTTTCACAGGGTGGTAATTAGGTTACACATGCTTGTCTGTTGGATGCACGTCCACGCGTGATGTCAGTGAGGCCTTTTCCTAACATGGAAAGTATTACCTTCTTCTTGAACGACTGCTCTGGTTCTTGTATGTGCAGGCTGCTGGCGGCAGACGCTTTGCCATACTCCTGCTTCTTGTTAAGTCTGTTTCTCCAATCCTCCTCTCCGCTCTTCTTCAGCAGTGCCAACCTAAGGGCAAAACGCACCAACCAGAAAGAGTTCAGCACCAAGCTCCTGACTTGTAACAAGACCACAGTGGAGGTCAGTGCAAAGTCCTTGGCTAGCAAATAACCACAGCTCCCTAATTTTGCACTTTTCGAATTTCAAAGATTCTGAAGACAGCATGTCTGGAAAAATAAGAGAGTCCTTTTTCTAAGATGGCCTCAAAGATACTAAAGTTGATTGAAACGCAAAGCTGAAGTCTGGCTTGCCAGATAAAAGAGACATCATCATTCCAGCCAAGGAAATGTGTCTTTTTTTTTCCCCCTTTCCCTTGGGCTGAGAGCATGGAGGAGATAAAGGAACTGTACCCAGGGAAGCATGCCGTCTAGCGCCCCCTACTGCCACTTGATGAAATAACACCTAAGTGACTAGAGCTGGGAAGTAGTTCTTGCCTGCAGAAAGTGCTGCAGAAATGAATTTACAGACATAAAGCTATAAAAACATCGACAACCTCTTAATATCATTCCCGTTAATTAAGGGAAAAGATGTTTACGACGGCTTCTCTTCCTGTACTCTAAGTCCTCTTCCTCTGAATGAACTGGGTCTGTCCAATCTATCTTCCTTAACACAAAAACTATTCTCTACAAACCCTTTTTAAAAACTATTGCTTCAACTTTCCTCAGGGAAAAGCTATATATAAAAAAAGAATCCAATTAACTAAGACTGTTACCTAACCTACTTTAGTTCCAGAATGGTGGGGCTCGATATAAACTGCTTGGATATTATCATCAGAGAAATGTTATGAGGCTGTCTCAGCTGCCACATTATAATGAATGAAGTTGGGCAAACAGAAAAGATAAAAGGCACAAGAATGGTGATCATTACATTCATTTAAGCTGACGCTCAAGCAATTTAAAGATTAGGAAGAAAGTAAGTATTAGATTCCCTTCCCCTTGGTGCCAAGCCCGATGAGCCAGTCTTTTAAACATCATTAGTGTACAGTCTATGAACAGTGGTTTTTTTTTTTATTGTGGCAAAATACATGTAACAAAACTTCGCCATTTAACCATTGTTAAGTGTACAATTCAGTGACACAAATCACACTGACCATGTGGTACAGCCATCACCACTACCCATTTTCAAATGTTCTGCATTATCCCAAACAGAACACAGACTGTATGATGTTTGACTCTGCAGTCGACAAGGGCTCGTTCACGTACTTGAAAACAAAATCTAAATTGCTTTAAATGCTGTGATCTGCATTTCAGACTATATCATGACTAAGATTTATCTTTTCTCCAATTCATCTGAATGAATCAGTCTTTTCCTAAGAAGAAAAAGAAAAAAACTAATAAGGTGAAATAATTAGACAAAACAATTAGCAGCTGTATGCTGCATTAGCGTTCCCAAAGGTTTCAAAGTGTCTATAAATGAGGCTTTTAAAAAGAACAAGCAAACCACTACGTTTACATCCAAAGGAAAGAGTAGTTCCAGTTGGGCATCTTGGGAAGACAGGCCCTTGTCTCATGGCTATTCTCCTTGCAAACTGGTCTCAGAACCAGTTTCTCTCTCTTACTTCACCTTTGACCTAGGCCAGTGGCTGTTCCTCTTGACCAGCCATAATGTTATTAAGATGGGATTCCAAATGATTCGAGAGAATTAAAAACAAATCAAATTCATCCTCACGAGTAGAGTTTAGTAAAAATAATAGGCCACAGTCTCCAAAGAGCTTCTCCAAAAGAAGCTCCCACATGTCTGCAGCAATGACCACATCAGTTAAATAACTGTTTGGTTTCCCTGGTGATGACTTTCAGGAATCGAATACGGATTTAGAAAAAACAAATTGTGGAATCTGGAATCATTTTACAGTCCACTTTATACTCTGCTAGGTCCTTGGGTGGTGCAAACAGTTAAGCGCTCAACTACTAGCCTAAAGGTTGGCAGTTCAAACTCACCCAGTGGTGCTGTGGAAGAAAGGCCTGGCGATCTGCTTCCGTAAAGATTACAGCCCAGAAAACCCTAAGGAGCAGTTCTATTCTGTAATACATGGGGTCACCATGAGTAAAAATCTACTCAATGGTAATTTTTCTTTTTCTTTTTTTTAAATATACTCTGCTGATCTTTACAACAACCTCTAAGAAACTGGACAATGTTATTCCCAATCCGACAGGCCGGGAACATGAGTACACACAGGGGAAGAAGTTTGCTGACTGAGACCTACTGTGTGGGGGAGAATGGGGAAGTGTGATTCCAGCCTAGGCAGGCCCACCTCCCGCTTCCCGGCCGTTTCACTGCAGTAGTATGCTAACTAACCACACACATTTCTGCCCTCATGTTTCAAGAATAGCATAGCATTCTGGCTTTCTTGCAATTATTCCCTGCCCTCCCCCCGCCTCATGGCCTTCGAAGAATTCTTCCATTCCCAGAATCTGAAATTTTGCTTCTGCATGGGCCGGCAAAGTCATCATCAGGGACTTCCAAAGACTATGGAAAAACGGTGCTTCAACAGAGCTCACAGGGTACTCGCCCGCTGTAGCCTGCAGAGCGCAAATGACGTACTGCTTTAAAACCACACCCTTACACAAAAACTACAATGTATTATTGCTGTCCCTTTCGATTTCCTACTGTTGGACAATCTGAGGAGGGCGGGAGATCTTTCCAAATGTGTTCTCCTGCCATCTCGCGACCCTCCCAGCTCACCGCAGACAACCATGCGTGGGAAGGGTGAGCAGCTACGCGTCCGGTCCTGCGCGTGATACAAATTCCTGCCTATGCAATTCAAACAACGGTCAGTGCTTTCAACATCGGCCAAGGCTAAGGGCTGTCTGCAGGACCTGTGATTGCTGAGAGCCTCGGCATAGGCTTAGTCTGAGGCTGCTATCCACTGCGCGGCACTGCTTTAGCCTGTCAACCCCAAGGTCTGGCTGGGGGCCACTATGACTGCAAGCTTGCCAGGCCGCCCTTTCCACAGCCCAAGCTTTTCCAGCAGGAAACAGTGGCTTGAGAGGGCGGATTCAGCTGCGCTCATCTGAGAGGCTTGCTTGATTAGAACAAGTTCTTCGGACTCCTGGCAGTTAGGGCTGGGTCAAATAGTGACAGGCACATTATATGCTCATCTCAAGTAAGTTTTTTTCTTTAAAAGTTCCCCTTCATTTCAGAGAATCACAGGCGCCACACAGATTTCAGATAGGGCTGATGAGTACTGATCAGGGCCTGTATCAGATCTTGGTTATCTGTGGGCTGGAGGAGTGAACCATATGCCTTTTAAATGGGGGAACAAATTGAAGATCACAAAAGGAGGGTGTTAAGGGAACTATGGAGTCCCTGGGTGCTACAAATGGTTAGCGTGCTCAGTTGCTAACCAAAAGGTTGGAGGTTTGAGCCCACTTAGAAGCACCTTAGAAGAAAGTCCTGGTGATCTACTTCCAAAATATCAGCCACTGAAAACCCTGTGGAGCACAGCTGTACTCCAACATATACGGGGTCGCCCTGCAGGGGTGGATTATCCAATAGGCAAGGTAAGCACAGCGCTGACTTTGCTTACCAGATCATCCAGAGTGAACAATTTCACGTATTTTCACCACATCAAAGATTCTGCTTCTAGGTACGGCGGGCACCTGTCTCCTTCCCAACCCCACAGCGCCTTCCTACAGAATCAAAGCCTCTTTTCAAATTTACAGTCTCTGACAGGGCAGACGACCCAGTAAACAAGGTAAGCACGGGCTTACTTGTGCTTACTGACTAATCTGTAGTGAACAATTTCACATGGGATTGTGGTGAAACCCAAGTGAAATCGGTCACGACAGATGCTCTGGTAAGCACCGCGTTTACTCTGCCTGTTGGATAGCGCGCCCGTCGCCAGGCGTCGATCGAACTCCACAGCCACCGGTTAGGGCATCAGACCTCTAATTCTTACGTTAATCCGGGGCCCTCTAGTGGCTGAAATAGCCCACTGCAATATAAGAACCTCAAGTGTGCTGGGGGAAACCAGGACACCGCCTCAGTTTGGGTGGCCGTGCAGGAGAAAGGCAGGGGGAGGGGCACACAAGGAACCCAGAGGGACCCCCGTTGCAGCCTCCCCCTCTGAGGCAGAATTCTGCCGGCGGCCAGAGGCAGGGGTGGGGGGTGGGGGACGGCTTCTTCAACATTGCAGGGAGTCCAGCAAGTCCCTACAGCACCAACTTCCCCAAGTGAAAAAATGACTCCCTATCCCTTTTCCGGAGTCTTCTCCCCAAATATGAAAGCTCAGATGCGGTTCTTTCAGCAATCGTGGAAATCAGATTTCTAAAAGTCCAGTGCACTTTTTAAGAAAGGCCAAAGTTTTTATCCCTAAACAACATAAAAATGACTTGATTCACATGGTCTTTCAAAGAAGTTCCCAAACAAGGGGCAACTTAAACCCCAATCATTAGGTTGTTTCCTGATTTTTATGCTGGTCACAGCTCAAAACCTGATATTGTAGATGTCAGAACTGATTAAAAAAGGACAGGGAGTTTTGGATCTTTTTCCTTGGGCATCAACCATATTCTAAAAAAAGAGTGTACTGTGGATTTCCCAAAATTTCCTAGTTACTGCACTTTTCTAAGTCTTACTTTTCCTCACCTACAAAGTAGGGATGGCAGCACCACCTTCTGAGAACTGTCTTGAGGACTGAGTGAGACAACACAGGTGCCATGGCAGTGCTCCGTCTCGAGGACTCACTGACGTCAAGGACTGAAGAGCAGCGAAGCTGAGGTTTAGGAAGACAGGTGCACCCCTTAGGGGTTACTTGTGGGCTGGAGAAGTGCACTATATATCTTTCCAACGGGGGAACAAATCCAACATCAGGAGAGTGTTCAGGGAATTGTGCAGCTATTTAGAAGAAACGATGAACGTAATCTGCAAATCCCAAGCTCTACTTCTTGGAGTTTAGAATTTGAAAATGGGTAACCAGTGAGCCCATGCACAGAAAATGTCAATTGAGAAAAATGATTTGGGAGGACGGTGGACTCTACGTAACTATGCTGTCTAGCTAGAATTTTCTGTCC